GGGCCCGGCGGTCCCCGGACTCCGCGCCCTGCTGCCGGCGCGCGCCTTCCTCTGCTCGCTCAAAGGCCGCCTCCTGCTGGCGGAGTCGGTGAGTGCGCGGGGACCGTGGGGGCGGCCTCGCTGCGCCTCCCAGTTCGGAGGTTGACGTTGAGGGGACCCGGGGGCGGATGTCGCGCTCTGAAGCCCCATCTTGGAGCTTTCTCGGCTGACTCCTCTTGAGCGCCCCGCGAGGTTGGGCAGCGTCCCCGAGTTTCAGAGAGCTAGTCGAAGGCGGGCGGGCCCCGAACCCAGGCCTTCCCGGGTTTTTTAACCCGCAAATCCAAAGGTGAAAGTTTCAGGATGCGGGGAGCGAGTGGCCCCAACTGGGCGCTGTGTGACCTGGGGCACCGTCACCCTCTCTGGGCCCGCGCGACAGCTACGCCCTGACATCTTCTGTCCTCCATCGCGGGCTCTTGGCCTCGCTCAGCCAACCCTGTCGCCGCCCCTAGGCTGGGCACGGGAAGAATCCGGGAACCCCGGGTCGCGGGGGGAGGCTCTGCTTTTCTCCGCGCGGGCTGGGCCCGGGCCGGCCTAGAGCTGCGGGGCGGAGGCTGCAACGCTTATAGGGTGGAAGGCCGGGGTGGGGGACCGTGTAGAGTGGAAGGAGCCCACGGGAATAGGTGAGGCCGGTCCTCAGAGTTCGGGACGCGGGTAGCCCGCGCGGGGTGACTTCACCGCGCTCCTTCCCTCCCTCTCCGGGGTCCAGCCGCCCCGCCCCCGCTGAGCTCCTTCCTCCTTCCTGCTCTCCCCCACCGGCCGCCTTTGTTCTCCTGATCCTCTAAAAACTCCCGCAACTGGGGTCCGTGCGGTCCGCTTGTGGGGTGGGGACTGGCCTGAGCCTCCAGGGATGCGGGAGAGAGAGAGAGGTGGTGAGATGAGGGAGCAGTACATCCCGGTGGCCACTTGTTGCTTAGGTCGGAGCAACTGGGTGGTGCCTGTTCCTACTCCCCTTGGCAAGTGAGAGAACTGAGGTGCCCAGCACTTAGGGGATTTGACAGATGGCTCAGGCGAGGGACCGAGTGAAAACTAGATGGAGGGTGGAGGAAGGAAGATTCTCTCCCAGAGTCTATCCCTTGTGGCCTAAGGCAGATAGCAGCTGTGGTTCCTACGCTGTCTTCTGTTGTCAGGCCAGAGTTAACCAGCCCAGCACTTGTTCAGCTCCCAAATGAGACGCCCCAGGGGCTGTACTCAGAACCCACATTCCCAGGGAG